CTGTCTGTCTGTCTGTCGCCAACTCTTTTTTTCCCTGTCGCTCTCTCGCAAATATTTTAGACACTTCGTGTTTTGAGATTCTTATAACGAAGATTGGAAAATTTTGGTAAATTTTTACTGATAAAGTTACGTCGTTGCTTTATTGATGCGTCGTATCGAAGATTTTTACAAAAGGAACAAATCCAAAGTGATAATGGTTATCACGTGGCGCAAATTTGGTAATCAGTCTTGTACTATCTATCGATGCTTTCGGCGGCGACCACTTTGGAGATCTGAAAAGAAAAAACAAAGACAATTAGAGATGACTGTACGCGCAAATGGATTTGTTCTTCTTAACTACATGTTCTCGTTTGTATCTCCGAAATGCCAGCGTATATATTTGTCTTGAGCACGTAAAAAGTGTAACAAATTGCAGGTAAATAGCAAAACATTATTAATCATCAGCCATGAATCCTGAAGATTATGCAAGTTTCGTGTTTGCGCTACATATATCATTTCTCATAAAAAAAAATTATGACATAACATTTATGTTTCTTCGAAATTAAAAATGACTACCCTTCAGTGCGAACAAACAAAATGCATTCATGAAACACGACAAGGTTACTATTCGGAGACAGGTCGATTAAATCCGAGCTCTCTCGCGAACATCAGGACGAAACTGCGAAACGTAATGGACGTCAAGGAGAGGGCGAATACAGTCAGAATATCGGCGCGAAACTGCCGTTCGTTCCACCGCGGATGTCGTCGGGCTTTCAGACTTTCGAAGAAATCTGTCTGATTAAATCCGAGTGCATGTCGCTTCGAATTACGGCCGGATCCATTACCGCCCAAAAAAAGCATGCTCCCCGTAAATCAACGGCCATTAGATTTGCCGTTCGATCTCGTGACTTAAATTAACGACTGTTGCAAAAAGCGCGGCAGGTTGATAAATTGGTGGATAGATGGATAGACACCGTAGACGGATGAATTTCCTCCCGCCATAGAAATTCTCTAAGGACCACCTGAGATAAATAGATATAATTTATTTAGATCTTGAGGTGAGTCCCCCACAGAGAAAGGAAACTAGAACGGGATACTTAAGATTGGTGATAAGATAAGTCACATTAATTCGATAAATTTTAAAAATTACAGAATTTACAAATAGACGTATTTTGAATCGTAACTAATTTTTTTTCAGAATAATATCGGAAAATTATAAAAATTGTGATAATATATCATCAATTTTAATTAAATAGTAATATTAATAATAATACTTGTCTGAAATATATGGAGATTGGTTATCCTAATTTAGAAAGAAATAATATCACGTTATTAATAGAAAGACCTCTTTTAATTTCGCGATTTTTTAATACGACGATATGTTGCACGTGTAATGCTATGCAAATCATTCGATTACATCGCGGAGCCGTCCGAGAAATTGTCAGTGGAGACGTACGTTTTATTTCCTGACAAAACAAAACGAACGAAACGCAAACTGACTAAAGTAGGCGGTGGAGCGGAGGGGAGGGGATGGTGAAGCCGTAAAGATGAGAAAAACAACACAGGAATTTGCAATTCATGAGAAACGTCGTCGTTGTCGTCGTCGGTCGTGTGTTAGTCACAGAATGCGCGACCTAATTTAAGAATGGAAAATTTGCGCCGTGTCTCCCCTACTCTTGGGTAATAAACGCGTCGCATACTATGCAAACATCATTCGACTTACAGAAAATAGCAAGAAGAATTTCCACCTTCCATTTTCCTCAATAAAAGATCGGCAAGAGAAATCCATCGAGGAATTCGAATTTTTATTTCATTACAGGAATCACGATTGAAAAATATGTACACGCTGATTCTTAACATTACATTTATTATGATACAAATAAATAAATGTGGGAATTACATTTAAGAATACATAGAATATTCAGAAGAATTACGTAAGAATTTAAAGATAAGAAAAAGAGAGGTGCGAAAAAAAAGAAGATATTCGTTAAAAGAGTAGGCGAGCTCGGCGAGGAAAAATACAGTGACACTTCCAAGTCGTCCCGCATGCAGTCGCATTAGTCCAGGAGATTAATTCGGTCGCGATTTATATGTATTTCCGGCGAAGGTGCGAAGACGCCTCTTTCGCGTTCTCCAAGACAAAGCCGAAGACGCACTTTCGCAGAGACACTCGCCCGAACTTTCCGCAGTTTCCTCGCAGTTTCGAATCTAATTCCTGTCCGACCTCGGGTCGCCGAGGTGCCGAGAGGACGCGCGATAAGTTTGCTTTACGGTTATGCCAGATGACGTCGCCTCGAGCCCCGTTTAATAAAGCACAGTCCGTGAGTAGCCCGAGGTCTCTGCCGTTCGCAGAGACTTTCGGGTTACCCGGTACGCCTTGTAAAGGGGTGTAATCGGTCAAACGCGCGGAATAGGCGAAACGAACGAGCTTAAACGCGGCAGTGGAAATTTTTCGCTTTCAATTGACATTAATTATGATTAATTTCGATTCATTCCGTCTTTTTATTCTTCATTCTATCTTTTATGCTCATTCGGTGGCGTGTCCTAAGAGAAAAGCGATTGATTGGAAAATTAAAAAATAGTTGCGCGTTGTGGATCGACACCCTTGAAACAGAATCGTTAGTGTTATCAACGAGATGAACAAAGGATCAACATCGGTGGATTTTTCGAATCCGAGATAGAGCATTGTGAATCGTTAACCAGTATCAGTCGTGGGACGTGGGAAATTCCAGGTGATAAACATTTTATGGCTCCCGGTGGATGAAACGGAAGCGAGCTTCTATATTCATGGAAATCTGCGGATCTCGCGTCATAGGGTTTAAATAAATCTATGCAACTATGCAACTAAAATATGTAACGTACCTACAAAACGTGCCTTCGCAAACAGAAAGAAACAGTTTTTGTGAAAGTTGTAAGAAATGCGGGCTCATGAAGAATTAAATTCGACGGATGTATACGAGTGCGTTTCTTTGTAACTTTTTGACTTTTCCGTTTCCCTCCCCCCCCTCTTTCTCTCCTTTTCTCTCCCAGGGCCCATTCGTCCGTTGATGTAACAATTTTTCACCGTGACATTCCCGGCTTAGAGCTATCCCTTGAGAGTTTAACCTGCTCTCGTTTCGTTCCTGACCGAGTGGTCATAGATTACTCACTAAAGCATAGTGTAATTCCAAGTTCTCGTTATTCTGACATAACGCGATATGCAAAATGCAGAGAATCGTGACAGAGGGGGACATGAGCGATGAGATATATTAAGATGCCTTTACACTTACGTACTTCTAATCTGAAATTAATGATAACTACTAAGAATTAATTACCGTTTTTTTACAGATGCGAAGGAAACAAAAAAGGTGCGAGACAATATTACGAACATAATAATAATTGTACCTATCTCTCTAATTCTCTTTTATTCAAATTTTCCTTTTTTTTCCAGATATGCCTGTTTTACAGATATTACATATCTACACCGACACAATTTCCTTCTTTCGGCGATACCGTCATATTTATTCGATTATTGTTTAAGGAGTTAATATCGATCGCTGCCACAGGACGGAGCGCTCTGTTCTGTCGTGAACTAGTTTCGATTGAATAAGTTCGGAGCAATTCCTTGTCGCTGTCGTTGCCGTCACTGCAAATTTTCCCTACGATCCGCAACTTTTCGGGACCGGCTGACTAGTTCGGGCGCGGATTTCTGCACGAACGAGCTAAATCGACTCGACCGGTCTCGCCGGAATTGCTTCGTTCGGAGTCTCGCGGAACCGCTAGTAAAATCAACGGCGACGGCATCGATTTTTCGGCGGCAGGTCAGAGAGAGTTTAATTAAATCGCTGTACGGAACTTGCGGACGAAAGGTGACATCCAAGGAACGTAAAACTCGTAAAAACGTAGATTAACTCTTTCCTCGGTATCGATACGCATCGTGCAAATCGATCATCGATATGACTCTCGAAAAAAGTAATTTCATTATCGAATAAACTTTCTCGATATTCAGGCATTTGTGACAAGTTACAATATTAAATGGCGAAAATATAAACGGAAATATGTGAAGTTATAAAAGTGTTATTTTTAATGAGTGAAATAAGTTAAAATTGACAAGAAAATATTTATATAAAAAAGATTATTTATATAAAAATTCTTTTTCTAAATATGTTGAAATTGGAATAATATTAAAGACCGGAGATACTTAATTCAACATTACAATGTTGAAAAATGAAAAATATGAGCAGTTAAAATATCCGGAAATCACGGATATAAACATTGAAAATGACAAAGTATCGTGATTTTTAATTGCTTGACAGCTCAATAAATTGCAACTAACGAGGGCAAATTCTAGATTCTCTATATTTAATTCCCGGATTATAGCGGCGGTGACACGGCGCGCGCGAAATAAAAGTGCGAAAAAACGCGGCAAGTTATAACATTCGCGCGTCATATGAGTTTTCGCGAAAAAAGTTCGCCGGAATATTTCGCAAGTGCGGCTCGTTGTTACGAGCGTGCTTTTTCCGCGCGCTGTTTATAACGGCTATGGAAAGTGCGCTCGTTAAACTCGTCGCCGTTGCTTCGGTCCCCTTTATAAGTTCGACGAGTAGTTTTGTAACAAACCGGTCCCGTCGCGAATGCAGTCACGTGCGTGCAAGCTCGTTTCCGGACCTTATAAAGCTCCCGCGATAATTATCGCGGCAAATAAACAGTCGCGAGTCGGCCTGCCCGACGTGCGGAGGCTAATGTAAACTCGCGAGGGGCGATCGCACATGTGCGACGTGTAACATACGCGTAAGAGGGAGGGACGAGCGAGGAGCGAGTGAGCGAGCGACAAGCACGTGCACTCGAAAATCAAGCGTTCCGAAAATTTCAACGAGCCACGGCTTCCCCTAACAGAGAAGAAGCGAAAGAATCGAAGAGGTTGAAGTAAGCATTTCCTGAA